TCAATTTGAATATTGCTGAAAATTTTGTGTTTTTTTAAAATGAATGATTATAATATTGTTCTTGAAAAATGCAAAACACTTAAATTGATATAGATGGACTATTATTTATCACAAGTACAAGACTTAATTATAATTTTTGTATTTTTAATTGTTTTAAAAAAGATTATTATACAGAATATTTTTTATGCAAGAAAAATAATTTAATAGTATAGTTTTAATTAAGAAAATAATTACAAGTGCACTGATTACTGCAATCCAAGCTTGCATGTCGGGTTGTCGCAATATTTTAGTGTGTTACGTAAAAAAAATTAAAAAGAAAAACTCGTTTACGGATTGTAATGGACACGTTAATTAGCTTATTGTTGTAATATGTATGTAGCACACAAAAAAAGCATGTTATATCTTTTAATTAAAAATAATAATCTAAACTATTATTTTTGTTCACTAGGTCTATATATTTATTTTAGTTATTATTTAAAAACTTTTAGGTTTCGGAATTTATGAGTTAGTAGGTTTAAACGGGGAGAAAATGTGTCATGTAGGCATTATATGGTAGGACATGAAAATTTAACACGGCAGGGTGTACAACAATCTAAAATGAACTTTACTACGAAACAAAACTTAATAAATTTGCATAGATAAATTATCATAGGTGAGTGTCGTACGAAACAAAACCTAATAAATTAGCTAGATAAATTATCACAGATGAGATATCTAACTCAAGAAAACATAAAGAATTATATTTTTTACATTGACAGCATAAAAGACAATGATTTACTTGTTTATCTACGTCCTTTAAGAGTTGAAATTAAAAATATTTTCTATAGGATAGGTTTACATGTATTCCATTTTTTGAACTCCAACCAAGTACATAAATAACAAGAATTTAGCTACCTTTCTCATAATTAATAAGAAGGAAGAAAGCAATCCCAAAACTTACTTTATACATATTATTAATATTACTAATTATATTAAAGATATGATGCATCTAATCAAACAAAACCCTAGACCTTTTTCACTCAAAAGTCAAATCTTAAAACTCTCATATCGTTTTCTAGCATAAGTTGTGAAGCACACACTCACTAATTAAATTATTTTAGCACCACGTTTGGCAAACCACTCCAAAATTTAAATGTTATAATAGTATAGTGATGATAGCCCACAAATTAAAACAAAAAATATTGATTTTGGTAAATTAAAGGTGGTGATTGATCTCACTTAATAAATCCAAGTTTTGTTGGTAGTATCAGTTGGTAACAAGTACATTAGTATTATTTAAAAGTGGTCAATGTGTGGAAAATTAACTAATTTTTAAGATAAAAATATGTGTATTTGTGGTCGACTGTAAAATTAGATATTTTATGTATATATATTATGTATATTATATATTTTAAAATTAATACTCCCTTCGATTAAAAAAAATGACCTCATTTTTTTTTATCTGTTTAAAAAAGAATGACCTCTTTCTTTTATGGTAACATTTTTATCTCAGCTTTCCATGTGACATATTTAAGACCACTAGATTAAAGGACAATTTTATATATTTGATATAACTTTAATTTAGGACCATAAAATTCAGAAGTCTTCTTTATATTCTTAAACTCCGTGTCAAGTCAAATCAAGTCATTCTTTGTGAAACCATGAGAGTATAATATTATTAATTTATACATGCTATAGAAAAAGCTAAATAAAACATTTAATTAAATATTGAATTATATTTATCTTCATGTTCTACAAATTTTATGTGAATGCAATTTTTTAAAATAGTTATACGTGACAACTAATCAAAAGTAGAGACGGTGTTACCACACACCTAGAAAATTTCTAATCTCTCGTCACATTTATCAAACTTCAATTTAATGGTAAAAGATGTTTGGATCAATAAATTGGTCAAAGAATTAGGAGTAGCTAATATGTTGGTCACATCCAACTTATAGTATTTCAAGCTTTAAATATTTTTAATTTAAATAACAAATTTCACTTTTATAGTCTGTATTAGGAATATGAATAAAACTGTAAATCGAGTTAAATTAAAAAAGAAAAAGTCTTGACTAGTGGTTTGGTATTTTTATTATTATACTTGAGTTGATTTAGTTCTAAACATAAAAAAATTATTTTGAAACCAAACTAACCCGATATTATTTATATAAATATATAATCTTTATGATTGATTGATGAATAAAGAAAGAGAAAACGATGGTCCTGCGAAAATCCGATTGAAGATACATTTTACTATAATCATCTAATTAGTGCATACATTAAGGCCAAGTTGAATTTTTTAATTGAATTTGGGTCAATGATTTAGATTAGACATTAAAAAGAATAGTATTTCAAGTGAGGATGATTACTTAAGCATCTAATTAGAAATTAAGAGGAGTTGACTGTAGGAAAAGGAAATTTTAGAAAAATTAAAAAGCAGATAAGACTGATTAAGAGCTTTGACTTGAAGCCATGACATTTCATGGAACCAACCCTCTATTTTTTATTGTTTTTATTGAAAATAATATTATGGTAATAAATTCAGATTATTTAAAATAATTGGGATATTAATTATTAACATGTGTGAGAGTGATTGAGTGGGATGACGTAGGAGATGATTTTCATACTTATTAAAGGAAATTCCGCAAATAGCCACTAAAAATTACGTCATCCGTTTAAAAAAGAATGACCTACTTTGACTTAGAACGGAGTTTAAGAAAAGAAAAAAGACTTTTTAATCTTGTGGTTCTAAATTAAAGTTAAGTCAAATGTACCAAGATATCCTTTATTCATGTGGTCTTAAACATGTAATGTGAAAAGTTAAAGTTAAAGTCTTGTCAAAAAAAAAGGGTCATTCTTTTTTAAACGGGGGGAGTACTTAACTAGGTTGTATAACTATAATTTGCTAATTACGATTCGTATCTATATGTTAGAGGGAGGAGAGAGGCTAGCAAAGTTAGGAGAGGAAGAAAGAGGCAAGTGAGAGAGGGCAGAGAATGGAGAGAGATAAATTGTATTTGTATATCTGTAGAATTGTATATGTATATTTGTCATTAATTATATATATGTAACTGATATACATGTTATTTGTTTATTAGGTGAGCGAGATTGAGAGAGGGAGGAGAGAGGCGAGCAAGAGAAGACAGAAAGTGGAGAGAGATAAATTGTATTTATATATTTGTCATATAATTGTATATCTATTACATGCATAATTTGTAATTGTATATGTATAAGAGATGAGAGAGGTGCATGTGATTATAGCTAATTGGAGATTACTAGTGGTAATTAGTTTGAATCATAACTATATTAACTAATTAACCTGTATATATTTACTTATCCGAGTAACTCGGTGTAGAGATTCTTTGGGCCACAATCCCTAAAGCAACAATAGGCTTTAAATTGAGTTTCTTTAGTTGTATGGGCCGGCAAAGGCAATTCAGGATAATTTCTTTTGATTATTCTTTGTGTATATGCACGCGTCAGATTTTTAAATTTTAATTTTTTTATATAATAAGATATTATGCTAGTTTGTATATATCTTAACTATATTTTTCCGTACGTAATACCTTCACAACGTAAATAAATAAAGAGAAATATATTGGTACCTTTTATTGTTCATTGTTGCAAATTCACTAAATTAGTTAGTTGATAATATGTTGTAGTCATGTTAGTACAATTTTCTTTGACCCTATAGTTTCCAGGAGTGATATATATAGACTTATTAGAAATTTTTATGGCATTATAAAATAGAAAGAGAGCCTTATTTTATTTTATATGATATTAATTTGAAATATTTTAAATAAAAACATGATCAGTGATCCCAACTAATTTGAGAGTGATACATTTTTTTTTCTTCTGATTTTGTAATTGCTGCAAATTCACCAAATATATGGATCCTCTTAGGATAGTTGTATTGGGCAAGAAATAGCTTATGTACGTGGTAGGACGAAGGATAGTTAACACGTGAGATCAATAAAGGATATTTACCAAGGCATTTTTATGGAAGGAGGTGTGTCAATGAAGTTCAACCTCGACTTGTTATCAAGATCACAAAATTATCATCATTAGAAAAAACGTGAGAATTTGTGATTTGAAAATTGAAAACTCATATCTTGTTGATGTGGCAAAAACATATATGAGATATGTTTTGCCTGTAATCTTACATGGATGCACGTGAACAATAAAGGAATATATTAGTATTTAGAGGTTTAAAGCACACATTAGGCATAGTACTTTGAGGAGTTGAGTTGATGTTAAACACTAGTGAATTTTAACATCAACATTAGCTCTTGTTGTCTTATTCAATTCTATTGTCGCCTAAATAAGTCATAGCGCGCCCTACTTGACACATGCATGCACATCCTTTCCGGAATTGTTTCTTGAAATACTACGTCAGTCCGCTTTTAATTGTCAAAATTTTCCTTTTTAGAGTCAAACTATAAAATCTTGAATAATATTCTATGATATATTTTTTCATCATATTGATATGTAAAAAATTGCAATTTATAATATTTTTCGTATATTTTAAATATCTAAAAAAATTTATTTACAATACAAAGTTAATGTAATCTAATATAACTTTAAAAATTAATCAAATTGACTTTTCAAAAGAGCTACATGACAAATAAAAGTGAACGGAAAGAATAACTCGAAACATCATGATTTTTAATAAGCTGATCATACCGACAATACACTTTTTTTTTCAATTCTCATTCGGTGTTCAGAACCCAAATTGATGCCCCGTGATCACACATTACCGCTCACATTCTCCGAAATGGTGATGCCCCCAAGATCGCGCATTTCCGAGCCTATTCTCCGTAATGATGCTTCCCACAAAATTCTCTCTCAAAACCCAAAATTTAAACTTATGGTTAAGATTACCAACAACCTACTTAAGTCTCAATGAACTTCACAGCCATCTTAAACAGTAGACTCAAATCTTCTACTTAGTTTTAATGCAGGACGTAGGTCCTTACCATTCAAAATAACATAGTTTGGAAAACAAAAAGAGAAGCTTCACACAACCACAAGAGTTGTCACCATATGTTCAAGCTGTAAAAATAGCTCACGCAAAAATGCAAACGCAAATACGATAGACCTAACGTAATCCGACCCTTGTACAAACCCCATAAATGATTATGCAAGCTGCATTATCTAGTACAATAAACCGTGCATATTCGAAAAACCAAGTGTACGTATTGGATCATAGGAACCTACCATAAGTAGGTACTAACAAAAGATCGTAAAGGACTCTCTTTCTTATGAGTCTTCTCAAAACATTAGTTTATACATACAATTTTGAGAACACATACATTCTCAGTTCCTTCTTCCTTGCCTGTTCCGATCTGTCTGAATATATACATGAGCTCTTCACGCAAAAAGAAAACCTCTTCCTCCTAACTTTTATCCCTTTTGACTATTCATTCATCAGTGGAAAGTGTAAAAAGTTGAGCAGAAAAAATGAAAATCCTCATTCTTCTTCTTCTTCAACACAAGCTGAGTTTACTACACTAAATTTGGTCCACTATACAGTGCTCCAGCTACAGTCAAGTCCTCAGGTTTCTCCCTCTCTTTGAGCCATGCATACTCACTTTGCTCTTCTTCAGGTACTAAAAAGTCATTCACTGTACTTCCACAAACAAAAAGACAGGAAAACAAGAATCTTAGAATTAGGATGGATAATGTCGGACAGACAATTTCTTTATTTTCCATATTTAGAATGTCATTTCAAGTACAATCAATTATGGAAAAATGTCCCTTCTAAGTATACTTTATTATAATATATCCTGTACTTTGGAGAATCAAATCAAAGGTACTTCTTTTACTAGTAACTAAAAGAGTCAATTTGTTTGACGATTTAAGATAGTAAAGCAGAATTTTGAATCTTGACATCTTGAACTAAAATAAAAACGATTGCTCCATGAAGAGTTATTCAGTGTGTATGACCAGCCTGACGAGGTTCATCCGAACCCTCTTCGGTGGAAAAATAACACAGTTTATGCATGATTAAAATTCTCCGTGTGCTTACTTCTTCATTTTCTAAACCACTTAGTAAAAATACTGGTTATGCCACTGATTGTATGTCAACTTAACAGTGTGAGAAGTTTATACTCTTGTCAACTGTCAAGTGCACAAAATTTTAAATCAGTGGAAGTATACAGCATTATACCTGACATGTTGGCAAAGGGGAAGTCATAGTAGTATTGGCAGTGGCGACCGTCAGGATCACAATAAGGTGGGCCGAGAACATCTAGTACGGCGCAAGCTGTCTTTGCTGTGAAGCAGTGCATATTACCTCCGTCAGCAGGATAGAGGATTGAAGTTTTGCAAGGAGCTTTAAACTTGGAATTCACCTTCAATTTTGCAAGACGCAGACCTGTACAATCCCCTGCATCATTTGAGAACGAACGATTCTGTAACTCTGGCTTCATACAAGAGAAGTAAATACATAAATAGTTGATGTCTACTATTAATGTACGGAATATAGTTGGAAAATACATTAACAGTTGCATTTATAGATATTTGAAGTCTCAAATCTGAATTTATGTACATGACTTTGCAAATGCAAAAGATTTCATGAGACTTACCATTTTTTAAGTGCAAGTTAACAAGATAAGGACTTACTGTCAGAAATATTCGCACCTGGTGTAGTTGATTTCGGAAGGAGATTGTCCGCCCAATCATAAGATTTTATGTGCATTTTCCCAAAGAGAAGCTTGCTGAAAACTGTCATTCCAGGATGGTTATGAAGAGGAATGACTGCTTTTGGTGGTAAGCAAAAGATACCAATCTAACAAAATAAAAACAAACTTTAAATCTTCAATCAAGAGGAAGAAGTGAAATAGCGAGTTTAACTTCTACAAAACCGACAATATATTGAAGAATTTAATTATTAAGTCACCTAAACGATATTAAATTCTAGGAAAGGTCGACCTAATTGGCTACATACCGAGAATTTGTCACATTCATGGAGATGCAAGTATGTTATTTTAGGAGGTTTATCTGATACAGTTGACTTGAAATATGGCATATTGGGTCTTAAGCCAACATCTGCTTCAGTCATCTTATCTGTACAGAGGAAAATGGAGCAACTACTAATTAAAAGACTGTTATATAAGAAGAAGAAAATAAAGCAAACAAAGAATTAGTCTTCATCTTTGTATATTATCTGAGTTATTTTATTTTGATGGAACGCGTAATTTTTTTAACCCGACAAACACGAAAATCCTCGAATCATGGACAATCACACCAAAGCAGAAAAGGCAACGATAAGAAATTCATCCTTACCATGACGAAGAGAATTAATGAAGTAAAAAATATATGTGAATCGTGATAATTGTGTATGTTGAAACACATGTCATGTACTCAATTGAATTGGTGTATACCTCATACTCCCTCCATCACCATTTCAAAAAGGATGGCCTAGTTTGACTTGGAACGAATGTTAAGAAATTAAAGAATATTTTTAATTTTGTGATTCTAAATTAAAGTTATATCAAATGTACCAAAATGCCATTTAATCTTGTGGTTTTAAACATGTCACATGAAAAGTTAAAATTAAAATTTTGCCGAAAAAGAAAAGGACTCATTCTTTTTAAACAAACTAAAAGGAAATTAGGCACATTCTTTTCGAAACAAAAACTAAAGTGCCGATACTTCCCAATTCCAAAAAAAGTTGTTCCTTTCTTAACCAACAAGACAATAATTTTGATGGACTAAAGTGCAGATAAATTCAACCAAAATCCATAATAGTTTTAAATCAATTCAGCTAAAAAGAAAAACAGTTAAAATGAAGCAAAATTATCGAACATATATACGTCACCCTTGAGAAAGACTTCATATAATAACACATTACCTCTATGGGGAGGAAAACTTTATGACAAAATGTCAAGATCATGTACTACTAAATATAACATCCGCAACAAAAATAATACTAAAAAAAAAGATAGAGAGAAATGAGAAAAAAAACGTGCAATTGTCAGTTTGTCACGAAGGTCTATCGGAAAGAATTATTATGATGGATAAAAATTGTTATGAATTTAGCAAACAAATATTTACATCCTTTTTACACTTTTTTTTATATGCTTAACTTGATCCCAAAGACTTCATCGAAAATCCTCTCTCTACCCTCGGTCTTTATGTCTGGAATAAGTTAACTAATAAAAATATAGCGTCTCTAATAGTTTTTTTAGATGAGTAGCGGAGCAAAGTAGATGCTTGGATCGATTCTCCTACCGCCTATATTTACAAAAAAACACGTGCGTGATCATGAAAATAGATCACACACTTCAAAATCTCACTAGTGGCTAGAGGAATAAGACTGCGTACACACCAGTTTCTCAAGACCCTTTGTAGGTAGATTAGATTGGTGTTTTGCAAGGAATTTATAATGGCAATGGCAGAGCAGTTACATCAATGCTTTTCTAAAATTTGCACCATGTACCTCAAAACACGCACTTCGTTTCAACGCTAACAGAATCGTTGCGGCAACATTTTATACACATGTACCAATCAAAAGTAGTAGAAATTAAACAAATAATCACGCCAAAGCAAAGAGAAAAAATACAGATTTATATAGAGAGAGAGGGAGAAAAAAAACATACCCAAAACTGACTTGACAAGTTCAACATTTTCCGGTGACGGCACAACGCCAGGTTTGCAATTAGTGAAAACTTGTTTGCAAGTTCGATAGAGTTTCTGAACCCTTGACATTCCTATTTTCTGCCGCTTCCGCTTCTTCTTCAACTCTCCGTTCTCGTTACCCTTTCGATCGATTTTCTCCGTCATCATCAATCCAAATATTGAATAATTCGAGAAAATACAAAAGAAAAAAAAAGAGCAGGCACAATTTTACTGTTCTATGAACAGTATTTGCACATGTATCATTTGCTATGAAAACAGAGGAAATGAAATTTTACAAATCTGTGATGCTGCGCTGCTGTGTTGCGCGTGAAGGATTATTTCAATGGAAAAAAGTTGAGATGTATATAAATGGAGAATAGTGGATAGCGATGGGTGAAAGAGGTGCATAAGTATATATTGTAGAAAATGAAAAAACCAGGGGCCATTTTTCCAGTGGGCTCTTCTAACAGTGGATTTTTGTATAGTTTTTCCTTTCTCCTTCCAAAAAAACACCAAATGGTATTTCACGCCCTGCTCCTTTTAAATTGGTGAAAGTATTACTAAGGGATTGTTTGGTACGAATATTGATAATGCATAGATTAGAAATATATGAATTAATAATGCAGAAATTAGTAATATAGAGAATAATAGTGGAGAGATTATTTTTTGTCAAGTATTTGATTTGTTATTTTTTACTTAATTTTGTGTTTTAATTTATAATATTATAAATAAATAAAAAATCATATTATATCCTTATGTTATTATGAGTGTTTTTTTCATGTAATTAGATCATGGTAGATAACTGTCAGACCGATAAATTTTTTTTAAAGAATTATTTATTTGATTTAATTAGTTAAATCAAATACATGTATACATAAAATTGTTACAATTTTAAGATACGATGTACCACTAAAAAGATCATTGATGGCACAATGTATTTCCAATTTTTTGTTGGTCAAGTATATATTTTATACTTAACATAACTTTAAGACTACTTAAATTGTTCATACCTCAATTTATTTTTATTTTTAAAACAAATAGTTTCAAGTGGATAAACGACAAATTATCTTGAATATAAAAAAAATAAGAAAAAATGGAAAAAAAAATTAGTGAAATCATTATATTACACCAAAAGGATTTGGAGAATTAAAAAAGAACATTTATAACCATTTCAATATAAATAAAAAGGAAATTAAATTACAAAAGAAATTTAGAAAAAAAATAAGAGGTTAGTTTAGTCATTTAGAGGTATTATCCAATGTTTAACAAAGCTTAAATTAGTTATTCCTTCAGTTTTTACGAATAAGATAATACCACATGTGATAGATATTCATGAATTAAATTAAATGAACTAATTAATATGTAAATTTTAATCCATAAATTATTTTACCTAATACCGCCTACCAAACGGATCCTAATAATATTAGTAAAGTGGGTATTAGTATAGAGTTATTAGTTATAAATAGATGGATAATATATGTATTAATTAGATATATTAATTATTTTATTTTTCTTTATTTTTGTTAATTAGTAGAGGTTTGTTAGCTCATTAGGATTGGTAAGGTAAGATATACTTTGCTTGCTTGTACTGATTTCTTGCTTATCTTATTATTAAATAAAAGATCATTAGAGGTTCTATCTAGTGGTATAAATTTATTTTTTTTTTAAAAAGTTATTTTATTTTTATTTTATATAATATAATATATAAACTTTCTCCTAATTTATATATTATATTCTATATTTGTGAAAATTTAAATTACAGATTAAATGCATTAATAATTTTATCATATATTAAATACGTGAACTTATATAATAAATTAAATATGATATTAATTTTATTCATAAATAAATCACCTTTTAATTAACTATCTAATATAATACTTTAATTATTTATATAAGATTTTATATCCGCATAACTCACTTTCAAATGATGGATCAAACGACTCCTTGTAGATAATAATTTTTTGGTAGGCTTCTAAATAGGATTTTTCAATTAAGGGCGGAGAGAGTTATGTGGTTTCTTGCTATTATTAAATTAGGATTAATGAGGTAAGATTTACTCCACTTGCTTATACTGATTTTTCGCTTATCTTTATTATTAATAAAAGATCGTTAAAAATCCTGTCTAGTGGTATAAATTTGTTTTTAAAAAAAAGTTATTTTATTTTTTATTTCTAGAAAATAATATATGTAAGTTTTCTCCTAATTTATATACTATATTCTATATTTGTGAAATTTTAAATTACAAATTAAATGCATTAATAATTTTATACATATATTAAATAATGAATTTATATAATAAATCAAAAATGATATTAATTTACCTACTAATTAACTATTAAATATAGTGCGATTATTATTTATATAAAATTTTATATTCGTGTAATTCCCTTTCAAATCATCGATATACGACTCCTTATAGATAACAATTTATTGATAGGCTTCTAAACAGGATTTTTCAATTAAGTACGCAGAGTTATGTTGATTTTATGCTATTATCAAATTATTTTTTTTGTCTTCCTAACTTTTGATTTTTGCTATTTTCAATTTATAGGTACAATTCAATTTTCAAAACTGAATTTTGCGAGTTTAACTATAATTGAATATAAAAATTTATAATATTTATATCTTTTTATTTAGATAGACAAAAGTAGAGGAAAAATATACGTGTAAAGTATATATGCAAATATTTTCTATTATATTTTGAGAATATTGTGTTTTTATCGTCCAAAAACTTAAAATATATATATTCTTTATATTAATAGACACACATGTGTCATAATCTTATTCACCGATTGAAATTTATTATTTATTGAAACGACGAATAAAATTACATCATGTATTCTTATTTAATTTTTCGTTAGAGTGAAAAGACATATACGTTCTAATTTTAAAAGATAGAAAAATTAATGTCTCAAAAAATAAAAAATATTTATATCTCATTTACAATAATTCAGAAACGTGTTTGTTCTTTTTCTAAAAAAAATATGATAAATTATAATGGTAATTAATAATTTAAAATACTTCAAACTTTTAATTAGGTAGGTGATACTCCATTCCATACTGCCTCCACGTGTAGTTCATGTGAGTCCACCCGTCTATAAATACCTACTTCGCCGTAAAATCCAACCAACAGTTTTAAGCTTATAACCACCCCACTTACACCTGGTTTGGATCGATGTTACTATTCTACTTTATTGTAATTTTTATAATTTAAATTCTATTATATTGTATTATTTAAATCAATTATTTAAATAAAAAATATTTTTAAAAATAAATTAATTTAGTTATTTATTATATTTAATTTTTATTTTTTCTTTATTTATTTTTTCACAGTAGCTTAACTTTGTAATTGATCTTTTTTTTTAAGTTTATAATTTAAATTATTGATATGTGAGAAGATCATATAATTAACATATTTTTATATTTTATTTAATTAAATAATATAATATAATATATTTTAAAATAATACATAACAACCATATTATCAAACAGAGAGTAAAAATCAACTAATTTCATGCTTATACTCTGTTTATTCACATTTACGTGTTAGAGTTTTATTTTTGGAGCGTTAAATTCTATGAATTTTAATTAATATTTTAATATGTATTATTCTACCATATTAGTATAAAAAGAAATTATAATTTATGTTATTTTTATTATAATTTATTTTTGTATAAATTAACATCTCCTAGAAAAAAAATGTGATAAGTAAAACTGGATCTAGTGAGTAATTTGGGGTGCAAATTTTGAGAAATTAATAACTTTCCTGAATATTTTATATTTATATTTAAAAAAAATCTACTGAATAATAAAACATATCATTTCAAAATTTAGTAATAAAGTAGTCTTTTAGTATAGTATAGTGATAGTGATGAAATATGTTTTAAGCTTTAATTTGTTCCTATCCTATTCCTCCTGGACACTTAAATTTGATAACTCATAAAATTTAATTTTTGAATCTAATTTTTATTTTATTTAGTATAAAAATCTACATAGTATTAACATTAGCAAAAGTTTAGAGAAAAGAATGATAAATACGAAATATTTATTTTTAATTTCTTGAAGCGAGAAGATGGTACAGATTATAGTCAATTATCCTTTTTTTTTATGAATTGACATGATGAAGTCCGATCTTATTTCTTTTAAGCATTAACCAATAAGTATTGCACCTCGATCTCTTTATGAAATTTATTTATATTTTAAATTTTTAAGAAATTAAATAAATAATGTTTGATTGTAAAATAAATAAAATCGAAAGAAGCTACGTAATTTAATGATTTATCCTTTAATTGACCAACGACTAAGAAATTAAGAACGTAATAAAATGAATTAATTTCTTATCTAGGGGCTACTAAATCCACTTGAAATAATTTGGTATTTCAAGTCTTTTCAACTTGATAAATTTGGACAAAACTACATCCAAATGATATCAAATTGCTTTTTACTTAATGAAAAGTATTTGCCCATAGGACAAAAATATGACTTTGAAACGGTATTATTTTCACGATTATCTATAATGACTTTACTTATTGATTATAAATAAGGTTCAATCGAAGTAGAAGCAGTAGTAATTATGGAATTTCTAATTTAGCCTGATCAGTAATTAATTATGCATCGAAATAACATTTTAAAGTTTAAGTAATGCTTGAAAATTGAAATTATGTATTGGCTTGACGATCAAACTAAACGTAGACAACACAATATAAAAAAATTAAAAAAAAAACACAAATGACAAGTTCTACGTAGTAGTATATGTAATTTGAACCAAAATATTCTCCATGATACACAATTGATCATGGCGTGACGTGAGTTTTTAAGTGCCCAAAATGTAAACGCACTTAAAGTTGAAAAAATAATTGTAGGCTCATTTTATGTAATTTTATCTTTTATATATATATATATAACCAAAATGTAAAACGTATGTTTGACTTTACATAAGAAGGATATGTAGTTATTGAAAAGACAATAAGAAATGATACACACGAGGCAGAGATTGGGGTTCGTATATTTTGTATTTATTCTAGATAAATATATGTATATATTTTTATTAGTGAACCTAACAAATCTGAATAATTGCTTAGTGATAAGGAGAGAATATTAAAAATATTTTTCACGCTCGAGTTATTGATTTGATTTTCACTATTAATAAAAACAAAAAAGAAAATCCTCTAAAAAAAATTTAAAATATCAAAACTTCTAATCGTGACTCCTTTGTTAATATTAATGGACTAAAGTGATATGATGCTCAAATTAGACACGTCGAATCATGCAGATACCCAAAATGTTATAGTACTATAATTCTTTCTCTGAGTTGGGAGTATATATTTAATTATTACTCCTTGTCCACATTTGATTTCTTGTTTTGAACTTTCTTTGGCTGA